GTGTGGTGTTCATGATCGTGAAATGTCAATATAAGAGCAACACACAGATAAAGTTATTGCGCCATAAATCATTATGGGTTCAGAAGGATTTTCAAAAACTTCAGTATGAAATATAAGCCATATTCGTCCAGTGAAAACTGAACTGAATTAAGTGACCTTGAGTGCTCGGTTCAAATTTTTTACGTGGTAAATTCTAGTCTCGTAATTGCAAGCTACTGTGAGTGAAAGCTGCTGAAACCTCTGCAAATCGTGTAAAAGTCCGTAAACCCGCTTAGCGAAGATATTCGATAAATCCTCGGGTGCTGACTTTGGAAATCAGTGATTTCATTGCGTACGACGTTTTGCATAGAGAAGAGAACTGCACATTGCAAGCTTCCGTCATGGCCAAATCAGGTTGTTGTGGAGCTCCTAAGTGTCAGAAAATGGTCTCTAACGGTATTCAGTGTGATTGCTGAGGCTACTGGTATCACCAAGGATGTGCCTGCGCAAAACGTAACGTCTACGAAGCTTACGTGGGAAACGCCTTACAGTGGCTCTGCTACATATGCTTAGCACTCTAGAACTCACAGTATTCACAGTTTTATCTGATTAAAATTGTAAAAGAGCTAGAAGGGAAGATTACCATGCTAGAGAGGGAGCTGTCGCTTCTGAAGAAATAGATTGACATTGCCATGGGCAGGAACAGGAACATCCTCATTTATAACAATGAGGAGCCGTTAATTCGGAATGCGAAAGCCAGGGCAGACACAGAACATAGGAAAGTCCGGGACCTCTTGAGCCTCGGGAGTTACTCCCACGTACACTCATTAAGAGGGTGCAGTGGGTCGGCCGCTGGATTAACCCTGCAGGCAGCCTGCAGCAGAGAAAAGCCAGGCCCATCCTAATGTAATTCGGGAATCCCGCGGTCCGGGACCAATTGCTTAGTAACTGTGAAACAAATCGGCGAGTCACTGGGAGGAGGCATCAGATCACACCTGATATCCGAAAGTAGAGTACATGGCAGACCCCAGAGCAGGGCTATGCACCCGCGATGGTGAAGAGCAAGGCGACCGGAAAGGTCATCATCAAGGTAGCCACCGTAAAGGCCTCTCCGGAACCGTGTCTTCCCAAGAAACCGGAACACCAATGCAAGCCGAGCTACGCAGCGGTGGTTTCCTCGACTCCCTTGAGGTCGAAACTGTTGGTACCAGCAGGACCGAAACCGGTAAAGAAGCTCGGAACCAAGGGGAGATCCCGCAAGCATTCAATGGCTGGGGTGCAACCAATGGTGCAGATGGCAGAGCCCCCATAGTTAAGTTTAATAGGAACCAAACTTCACTTCCGATTGTGCCACTAAGGGCAGTAACGGCCGTGGGGCGACCGTTTAGCGCCACACCTAAAGCAAAAAAGCATACGCAGGTAGGGCCTAGGGTGCAACCAAAGCAGGAAAAACTATTGACTCCCCCGACTAAAATCGTGGACCTGACACTGACGCCGATTGCGACCACCAGGTCTTCTCAGACCCCAGAGTATAGAAACACCGAAATAGGGGCCCAGAGACAAAGCCCGGAGCTATAGACGTGTGACAGATGTTCAGTGGCCACCGAAACTGGAGACGGGGGGTCGACTCGTTAATCAATGACAATGTTATAGAAATGGCGACAAGCCCCAACAGGGTAATGTCCCCCGAGAGGGACGGAAACTGCTCCATGCAGGATGTAGAGCGAATTGTTGCGCCAAAAAACGAAGTTGGCCCTCGAGTGTTACGCTCGAGGGCACTGATAACTTGAGGGATAAACACCCACAAGCTCCATTTTTTCAGCCACATTACCTTAAATTGTGGTACACGAATGCGTGCAGCGTTGGAAACAAATGGAGTGAGCTAGCGATAAAGAACCAGGATTGTGACATTGTGATCCTTACTGAAACTTGGCTATCCCAAACCATATCGGTAGAACGACTAGCCCCTCCAAACTTTACCCACTACAGAACCGATAGGGAGGGTGGGCGAGCAGATGGGGTCCTGTTGCTCATTCGTCGGCAGTATATCCAGTTGGAACTGCCCGAGCTAACACTTTGTACTCCAACAGTGTGAGCTACAGGCTGCATTGTAAGAAATAGAGGCCGACACTGTTGCATATTAGGTGTCTACAGATCAAACTCCAGACCGGAGGATGATAGAGCGCTTATAAATCAAATCACCACTGTCGGTAGGGGAAAGCACTCTCCGATTATAGTGGGGGATTTTAATCTCCCCAGAAAAGAATGGCAGTACGAAGATGAGGGTGAGGGGCAAGTAGAACATGAATTCATGAACTGCTTCCATGCGGCACCACTCTACCAGCACGTGAGAGAACCAACGCGTATCCGACTAGAGCAGAGACCGTCTACCTTGGATCTTGGTCCTCACTCGGCAAGAGATTGAGATAAGCGATCTAAGATAGGAGGTTCCTCTCGGTAAAAGTGATCACAATGTACTGCTGCTAGAAACGTGAATTATGAAGGAGAAGCCACCCCGCAGTTGGTGCCGCAATTTC